TGCCATCCCCAATCTTTGATGAAGTATCTGTTCAAATCACCCCAGTTTTTAATTGGATTTGTTTTCTCATTACTGAGTTTTGTTGGTTTTTTTAATCCTCACCCAACGATATTTTTCCATTGATTTTTAGAGTGGAAGGGAGAGGGAGAGACAGAGAAACATTGATGTAAGAGAGACACATCAATTGGTTGCCTTCTGCGACCAAGGTACATGCCCTTGACCAGAATTGAACCCAGGACCCTTCAGTCTGTGGACCGATGCTCTATCCACTGAGCCAAACCAGCTAGGGCTCATTACTTAGTTTTGAGTGTTCTTTATGTATATTCAGATATGTGTTATATAAATATTTTAATATTGCCTTTTTAAAATTTTCTTAACAGTATCTTACAAAAAAATACCAATATCCTTTTAGGAAATAATTGAACTTTAGTTAAACATAATGCATGACAACTTAGAGTTCATTTTCTAGTTGGAGTTAGAATTCATTGCATCAATTTTGAGTAAACCATTAGTACAGATTTAAAAAAAATAAATCTATCTCTCACTTACTAACCAGATTTAAATGTTATTTGTTTTTCAGGAAATTGGATACACTCATATGAAGATAGCCGAAGGTGTGAACTCTCTTCTGCAGATGGCAGGGCTTCTGGCCAGGCTGTGTCAGAAGACAATGGCCCCGGTGGCCAGTTAGAGCGGAGAACTCATTGATGGGGTGACAAGAGTCCCTGAGAGACGGGACTCACAGCCTTCTGCTCTGGGAGAGAATGCTGCCCAGACTGGCAGTGGGACTCGCCTGTTAGTAACATGCCGTGGCCTTCCCCGTGCTTCTACACACATCTCCAGCGCGTTTGCATTCTGCCCCAGGCTCTGAGACATGGTGACGGGGGAAAGGCCGCAGAGAATGTCCAGGGCACGGCACCCAGCCTGGGTGTGGGTTGGCATTTTAGCTAATAAAACTGTACAATTTGCCAGCAATAATGTGGCAGGGCAAGTCTGCAAAGAAAGCCAGCTTCCTGTCTGCGTGCTTCTTGCATCCTACAAGTAGAAAAGGTGATTTAGATGACAGACGGGACAAGTGAATCTCAATTTTTCCGGAGGTCAGTTCCACGGGGTGAGGGCAGGGTTTGTTGTAATTTACTGACCATTTAGAAAAGCTACTCAACAGCTTGGGGCCATGAGCTCTTTAGAAAGGACTTAAGGTGTCGCTGAGGAACATGGTGCAGGCCCGGCGCATGGAGGCTGCCAGGTCACCTCGTCTGTACAGTGCTTGTTGATTTGGCATTTCCCAGTAAACTTTATATTAACCTGTAGAATTGCTCTTTTTATAAGATACTATTTTTTTAATTATGAAAAAATACCAATTGTACATAAAACATTGAATGATATTCACATACTCATCACCCATCTTAACAGTTATACCAACACATGGCCTATCTTGTTTCCTCTGTATTCCTACCACCCCACGGATTGTTCTGAAGCAAATCCCAGATGCCATTTTAGAATAGCATTGTTTGTGTGTTTGTTTAATTGATTTTGGAGAGAAAGGAAGGGAGAGAAACATCGATTAGTTGCCTCCTGTACGTACCCCAACCAGGAATCGAATCCACTGTGCCCTGACGGAATCAAATCCGTGACCCTTCAGTGCACAGGACCGCGCTCCCACCAACTGAGCCACACCGGCCAGGGCTAGAATGGTGTTAAGGGAGTGGGGTGGGAGTCACCCATCCTGTGGTTAGTGGACTCGTAAAAGGCTTTGATTAAAAACACTTGTGTGACATGCTGGCTCTTCCTGCCCTGTGGTTTCCCTGACGAAGGGCCACAGCAGTGCGGCCGTGTGTGCCCATGCTGCACGTACTGCTGGGGCAGCTGGGTGAGCCCATCTGCTTTCTCCCTGCCAGGCTTGGTTCAAACGGCGCTCACGCTCCATCCAGCCTGACCCTTGGAGCAGGAGGAAGCAGGAGAGGAGGGCCTGCTGCACTTCCACTTACTGCCGTCCTCCCAGGGGGTGCAGTCACTTGCCCAGCCCACATTGTTGGGTAGTGACACTGAAGAGACACGGAAAAGGCTCTGATTACTGGCTTTTGGGTTTGGTTTTCAATTAAGAGAAAAAAATAAGGTCCTCAGAAACAGCGAGGTGACGTTTTACAAAACGCACATACTTCCTCTTATTTTTTGTCTGGAGCTTCCGGATCCCGTCAGGTGAAGGAATGACTGCCCAGCTTGCAGGTGAGGGGCCCCAGAGACATCAGGGTTTCCACACCTGTAACCCAGGAGGGACTCCCCACCCGGAGCCTTGGCCCCGCCACACCCTCTGGTCTGAGCTTGTGAGGTCAGGGCTGCAGGGTGTGAAGTAGCAAATGGCCACAGCTGTGCTCGAGATATTTTTTACTATTTCCTAACGTGGCATCAATTCTCGGAAAGAATGTGCCATCCTGGAAAGAGCTGCCTTAGGGCCCGCGGTCCTGTCCCCAGGCCTCAGGCTCCCTGGCTGTGACACAAGAGGCTGAGTCACTCCCTGGGTTGTACACAAAACAGAAAGAATCGCTGCCCTTAAACTAAAAAGGTTTATTGAGGTTTTGAAAGGAGGCGGCATTTTTCCCTGAGTGGCTTTTCTGACTCAAGGTTCCACTGGGCCTCTGCCCTTCCCCGAGACAGTCATGCTGCCCAGTCAGGGAGCTGGAGCAGAGGAGGCATTCAGGGCACCCGAGGGACACCACTGCCCCCCCCCACCCCCCCCGCCCCGCCACCCCCGCGGCAGCACTGACGCACTTTGTCCACAGGACACGCCCACTGAAAGCCTGCGGGTGGCTGTGGCCTCACCTCTTCCTCAGTGAACTGAGACCCGAAGAAAGGAGTGCCAGGGCGCCCCAAGTGTCTGCTGAAGTTAGAACATGTAATGCTTAGAGGAGACAAGATAGACAAAACCTACCCTGGAACGTAGAATATTAAATATGGCTCCACCTGTATAAATTAATTACACAAGCGTATCGATCACACAAAATCCCAGCAACTGACATTAGTAAGCGATTTGGGATCCAAACCCAAAGCAAAAAGGACACGAACGCCAGTACTGTTTGGTGCTTAGATGTGGGGATGGGGTGCCGCTTGCCCCAATGCTGGGCATTCAGTTACGGCAGGGGCTGCAGTGCCCTCGCGCCAAGCTCTTGCCCAGCCCCCGGGAAGCTGGTTCCACGTGTAACTTTCGGGTCCCGCGTGGCCAGAGGGATGGTCCGTGGGACATGCAGGTGCACCTCCCGTGAGTAGCGTGGCGGGTGCCCTCCCGTGAGTAGCGTGGCGGGTCCAGAAGTCCAGCTGCTCCGGCGAGGTGATGGGTGGGAGACGGTAACTATTCCTGCGAAGATGAACATGGTTGGCTTCGGCGAAGATGAACATGGTTGGCTAGAGGAAAAGGCCTGCGTTGGCTACCATTTCGTCCCCTCGGCACGGGGCGACTGGTTTCGAGAGGGGAGGGGCGCACAGTGGTGGTGAGCGTTCAGCTGCCCTCCCGGGCTGAGGAGAGAGCCACCCACCAAGCTGAGTCTCTTCCCAGAGCTCCCACTTTTTCTCTGAAACCCTGACTGTGCTCTCTGATCCTAGCCAAGGCCTGGGCACGTCTGACCTGTCTTCAGGTCTCTCCCCAGCCCGACTTCCTGACCCTGGGCACAGGTGCCACTTCGTATGTTCCCCTGCGTGGGCCTCTCCAATCAACAGGCTCAGAAATAAACTGGCCTTGCCCACAAAACCCACTCTGCCCGTAGCTCCCAGATCTTAGGCAAAACCCTGCAATCCTGTTCAACGCCTCTCTCTCGCACCCACACGCAGGGCACCCCACCAAGGGCACCAGCGAGTCCTACGGACTCCGCAAACATTCAGTATCTACCTCTCCCGCTGCCTCCCTGGGCCAAGGCGGCATCTTTTGTCTGGACTCCTAACTCACTGGCCTCCCTGTTCCCACTGCCGCCCCCTGTAGAGCCGTCCCTCGGGCCCCAGAGACATCAGGGTTTCCACACCTGTAAAACTTCACCTCGCTGTTTCTGAGGACCTTATTTTTTTCTCTTAATTGAAAACCAAGGCTGGGTGTCCTTCCCCGGAGGGTAAGGAGGGGGCTCCAAAAGGCTTCCCCGGCCCCCCTACTGAACTGCCCACCTTACTGCCCGTCTCTTCCCTGCCGGTTCGCCTCCACAGGACTTATCACCATGCAGCAGGCTAGACTTCCTCTCGGCTCTCTCTCTCATCTCACGGGATCTGCTGTGTTTCTCCCACCACAATGTCAAGGCATTTTGTGTGTTGTGTTTACTACTGTGTTCCCAGCACCCAGGCAGGACTTGCCTCTGGCAGGTGTGGTAAAGACTAAGCGAACCAGTGAACTGTGGGCCTTTGCCTGTTGGGCTCAAACTTGTGTGGCTGGTTCTGGACCAGCCCAGCCCCTCCCCACTGAGAGGACTGTGGGTGGACCCTGCCCCCCCCCCCCCGCCACACACACACACACACACACACACACACACACACACACTTATTCTAAGTGTGACCTTGGGCAGATGGCTTAGTGCCAGATGCCTTTGAGGTGACAAGTGATGGTGTGTGTGTGAGCACTTGACTCCGTGCTGGCCGGCAAAGTGGCTGCTTAACACAGTTCAGCCACTACAGCCGTCAGCGCCATCATCTCCCAGCCCTGCCTGTGCCCCCGAGGCCAACACTGGCTCATGCTTTATGTGCAGCGTCTTGTCTAAGGCACAGGTCCCACCGGCACCATTTTGCAAGCGAGGACGCAGACCTGGGGAGGCTGTCACTCCCCCAAGGTTGCAGGGACCCACCCAGAGCCCACTGCACCCAACAACTCACCACCTTCCCTGCCTGACAACCTCGTGCTCGCCATGAATCTCACCTCACCAAGCCTGCCTTGGGAGTCAGCGGCAGGGTGGGCGGGGACTGCTCAGGAGGCCCAGCACCCTGCAGAGCCACCCCATTTCCGCACCCATGGGTGCTACCCCTTGGCCCTCACCACGGCTCCTCCAGCCTGAGCTCCCACCTTTTCCCAGGGGATGGGGCCCTCTGGCCAGTGAGGCCACCACCCTGCACCAGGGCAGCTGTACCTCCTCCCAGGTCTGCCCTAGGCTTCCGTGGCGGCCACGTCCTCATTTACATAATCGGGCTCTCCATCTTCGTCCTCATCGGGGATTCCCGCAGGGGAGAGAGGTGCTTCTCTCGGGACTTGCCCTGTGGACCAGCAGGCGAACTGTCAGTGGTTCACATGGGCACACCCAGACCTGTTCCTGGAGCCAGAACGCCCACCCAGGGCTCGAGCCCCCCGAAGCCACACGCAGCCTGAAGGAAAGGCTGCCCTGGACGAGTGTCTGTCCCGGTTCTAGGGTTTGCCAGATTTTTGTCTGCCCGGGAAGCAGGGTCAGTGGGGCTCCATCCACGCAGGTGATGGCAGCCTGCGCAGGAGGCCCCGACCTCAGGAAGCCATGGTTCAAGGCCAGTGCAGCCAGGCCAGACCCTCCTGACTCCCACTACCCTTCCCCCCATCCTCCCTGGCCAGGCCCCCCTGACTCCCACTACCCTTCCCCCAGCCTCCTTGGCCAGGCTCCCCTGAGCCCACTGAAGCTGTCCACTCAGGAGCCCCTGCTCTCTGGCCACATACCTACGACCTTTCTGGACTCCCGCCACTTCTGGATGGAAGCAGAGTTCTGATAATCCTCATCACCTGCAGGGAGAGAACCGGGGAGAGGGCCTGCTGGGAGGAAGGGGAAGCCACCACGACTGGTCCTCAGGCCATCGAGCTGCCACGGCCCCTCCAGAGAGGCCTCTTGTGCCCTTGTGTGGGCAGCCCCTTTGGTTGGAAGGGCTCCCCATAGAGCATGCCCACTGAGGCCCAGGATGATGGGGTCTCCTCCCAGGACAGGGGGCAGTGCTTGACCCAAAGGCATTAGAGGTGTCCGTGAACTTTCGGGCTTCACGGAGGGCTCTGCCTCTGTGGGAACTTCAGATCTCACCAGTCCCTGCCCAGCTCCGGGCTGGTAGTCTCACCTGAGTCAGGCTCTTTCTGCTTGCAGATGAGCACATTCTCATAGGAATTAGCATCCTCGTCATCTGCTGGGGAGAGGAGTGAGGGGAGAGGGGAGAGGGGAGAGGGGGCAGGGGACAGGGGGAGAGGGGCAGGGGAGAAGGGAGAGGGGACAGGGGAGAAGGGAGATGGGGAGAGGGGACAGGGGAGAGGGGACAGGGGACAGGGTACAGGGGATAGGGGAGAGGGGA